CCTGACTTCAGTGGTCACCGGGAAGCTGAGTGTGCTTCCTCCCATCATGAGGGCAAGATTCACGGTAGATGGTAGCACCGAATCATTCGTGGTAAAAGGGACTGTGGGAGGACCCTGTGTTTGGCCGTGGCATGGTGAGCACCTTCCTGGGCCCAGCTGCAGAAGCTCTGCAGTGACACGGCTGTGCTGGGCCTCTGTGTATCAGAAGGAGTCTGGCACTTGGAGGGGCAGAGTATTGTGCCATTTTGCACCCCTAAAGGATCAAGCTGGAAAGTGAGTCTGTGTGTCGGAATAAACGAGGTCCATGGCGAGGCCTGGCTGTACCCACGGCACTAGCTGGAGACCGGTATACCCACAGAGTAGCTTTAACCAAGACTGAAAACCTGGCATGGGGCTCCTGGATCCAGGAGGGTGGAGAATGGAAGGTGGGAGTGGGGTAACCCAGTGAGAATGGTACTGGGAATTATGGCTGGGCGTACCCTCACTCCCAGACACTGTCCCCCAATGGCATCCCACTCACCAGTGCCCTGAACAGGCCCAAGTCCTCCCCTCTGAGACCTGGCCTGTGCACTCTACTGCTCTCCTTGCTCACTCCCTTTGAAAGCTCAGACCCCACTACTTCATGGGGGCTGCAGCCAAGGCTGACATTGGATTTCACATCCCTGAACTGCTTTTCCCTGACTGCAACTATAAGATCCAGGTGAGCATCACCCCTGTTGGCACATCTGGCATCTCTGCTAAGAAGCTGGCCCCAAGAAGCTCCTGAAACCTCTGGGTGTGTTTGCACCCTGCAGTGTCTGCTTGATATGACTGTCAGGCTCATTAAAGTCCTCAAGAGTGATGAGGGGTCTTTGAACTGGAAATGAGAAAATAAGACTTTATCCTCTTTCTGATATGAATTCAGATATTTATCTCCTACCACGATGTCTCTCTAACTGGCCTGACTTCTGAGCCTTACCCAAAAGGGCTCAGCCAATCTGCTTCCCAGCACTCATCTATTGCCAATGCCCATTCATCCAGGCAGCTCCTGCTCTGAGGGCATCCCCCTCCTGGTCTTCGCCTGCTGTCTCCTCTGAAGAATCTGTATCCATCCATAGAGCACCTCAAGCTTTCTGATTGGTCCCACACACTGCAGCAGGTATTACATCAATGTCACAGCTCTGTGACAGCACACGGGGCTC